ATCAAATGGAAACTGAGGGCAAAATAATCGGCACGAAAAACGTGAAAGACCTTTTTGATGAATCTGATTTCATTCATGCATACATACAACTTCCACTGAACACGAAAACTAGCAGGTATTGTATGATATCACTTGTCGGGGCTTGTTTCACTAAAGCCTACAAGTTCAAAACTGGATCATGCAGAACTAAAACAAAGCAGGCAGGCAGAGTTCCGACGTGCGAAGTGCATCAATACTCTCCAGGCAACAGTCATGAATGATCTTCTTACGTTCCCAACACCGATCTGGCGTTTTTTTTTATTGAACAGCCTATATTTTTCATATGTCAACTCTTTCAAAGGTATCTCTGGCCATATCTACCTTTTCTTCGAAATCCATCTCAACGTTTCTTTCCTTCTGAAAACATTGGAAACATCTTTCCGTCTGAAAATATTGGTCTTCTTTCCTTCTGAAAACATTGGTAACTGGGAAAGCTAAGTGGACTTCCCGTATACAGGTCGAATGTACAGGGATGACCTAGGGGTATATAAACGAAAATTTGGGAAACCTCAAACCGTCGTGAGCGCCCACCTCGAAAAACCTATCAGCAATCCACTTCAAAAGCAAACGACAAACACTGAAACATGAAACACACTCAAAAATTGTGGTATTAACTTTTTTTAAAAGCCTATCAGGCTAATTTTATGAATCGAAAATTGCTTTTCTACAATTTTCTAGAAGTTTCATGCTATTTCGTGTATGTATGGATCGTATGACTAGAATTTTTCATGTTCAAACAAACCAAGCATTATCAAAAAATTCAGTCAACCCGGCCTGTTTAGTGCTCTTTAAGTCAATATCAAGTTTCAGCTTAGTAAATAATCAAATCAGATGTAAACTGTGCAGAAACTGTAAAGGATTTTGTTTAGAGATGGAACGATTGCTTATGCAGGGTCACATCGTAAAAAAAATTTAAAACATCACGGCTAATTATGTCGATAATGATAACGCTGATGCCGATAATGATAACGATGATGAAAAAAAACTTGAAAAGAAAAAATCTTGAATTGAGGTGACAGAGAAAAATTTTAAAGTAATATATGCCAAATGGTGCTGGGCCTTGAAGATCAAATGGACACTGAGGGCAAAATAATCGGCACGAAAAACGTGAAAGACCTTTTTGATGAATCTGATTTCATTCATGCATACATACAACTTCCACTGAACACGAAAACTAGCAGGTATTGTATGATATCACTTGTCGGGGCTTGTTTCACTAAAGCCTACAAGTTCAAAACTGGATCATGCAGAACTAAAACAAAGCAGGCAGGCAGAGTTCCGACGTGCGAAGTGCATCAATACTCTCCAGGCAACAGTCATGAATGATCTTCTTACGTTCCCAACACCGATCTGGCGTTTTTTTTATTGAACAGCCTATATTTTTCATATGTCAACTCTTTCAAAGGTATCTCTGGCCATATCTACCTTTTCTTCGAAATCCATCTCAACGTTTCTTTCCTTCTGAAAACATTGGAAACATCTTTCCGTCTGAAAACATTGGTCTTCTTTCCTTCTGAAAACATTGGTAACTGGGAAAGCTAAGTGGACTTCCCGTATACAGGTCGAATGTACAAGGATGACCTAGGGGTATATAAACGAAAATTTGGGAAACCTCAAACCGTCGTGAGCGCCCACCTCGAAAAACCTATCAGCAATCCACCATAGAAAATGCACAATTCTGAAAGCATCAATAATTTTGCTTGTGTTATTCCAAGTCTCTTTGGTGTGTTTCAATCGTTTTTATATGAAGACGATATGAAAGATACCGCCATCTTGAATCAAGCTTTGTGTAAATTGCCTCCAAATATGAAGGAGTCTTGTTCATCCTACATGGTCCAGCGGAAATAGTATTGTCATAATCTCCTTGATTTTAACGAGTGATGGAAAGAAAAGGCCGAAACGCATGAGCGTATGAAAACTTTTCCTAGTAAAAACAAAAACCGAGGAACCGTCAAGACAAAAACTACCACCCGAATTTTTGCATCCAGCAGTAGGCCGAACAAAGTTGAATATCCTCCCTGCCCACAATGCGCTGGTAAACATCCGTTATGGGGATGAAAAACAATACTCAAGGGGCCAATTTTTCCGCGGAGAGAAACTCGGTTTCTTGTGTCTTCAAGCGGACCACTTGTCCCGTAATTGCCTGAAAGCTAAGAAAAGCAGTAAACCTGAGTACGAAAGATCGCAAAACGTCCTCTTACATGGTGCAGACCACATTTTGCTCCTCGAAAGGAAGAAGACAAGTCTTCTACCGAAAAAAACTCCGTCGGATAAATCAACGTCTTCTTGTACCGCATCCGTGCAGGATGTTAAAGTCTCCTCCAGGTTATTGATTTAAGTGTTCCATCTCAATCAAAAACCGATAATACTCTCGTTTTGTGCAATCACAACTGGCTTTCCGCAGGCTTGGCCCGACGTCTGAACTTGTCAGGGAAAAAATTGATTTGACCCTAAAATGTTTTAATTCAACGGATACCGATCCAATCCTTCAATGTAACCGCTCACGTAAAGGATAAAATTAATGTTTGTTCTCACGAAGTTGATGTTCCGGCCCTTCAAGAAAAGTATCGATACCTGGAACCAATAAAGCCAGTTCGCTATAGTTATTCGGACATCGAAATGACAATTGGTCAGATTTTTTATCACACATACGTCCGCTCGATTCATGATGCAAATAAGAAAATTCCAAAGGCTGTTCATCTGCTTCTAGGCTGGGTTTTGAATAGCCCATTCCCCTCCTCGTCTGGGTTGTTACCAATTTATTTCAAAGGTAATGCGGAAGACGTGGAACATGTTAGCCAAGTTAAAGCGTGGTATGGTTTAGAGAGCTATGGTACACACAGGCAAGCTGATGCTCGTTCTGTAGTCGATCAGCGAGCGCATAACTTTTTTGAATCAACAACATACCATGATGGTAAACGGTACTGGGTAGGAATGTTATGGGCCGATGATTGCAGTTTTTTACCCAAAAGTTACTACTCAGTGCTGGCATAGTTCAAAACGCTTGACAAACGGCTCGAGAAAGATAGTGGTTTAACAAAGAAACACACTAAGACAAAAATTGAAGACCTCGATAAGGGTTATTTCAATCCAGCTATACCGCACAATCCGCAACTCGGCTCCGCCATTCAATGGTTTTTACCCTATCACCATGTCCTCAACTCAAACAAGCCAGTTAAGGTTTGTCGGGTTATGAATGGTGTGTCAAAATTTCACGGCCAATCTATAAGAAAATCTTTTTCTTTGGCCCTCATTTACTGCATATTTACTTCACGAGTTAATGCACTTCTACCGACATCAGTTTGCCAACTCCTCGGACATCGAGGGTATGTTAGTTTAGGTTGGGATAACCCCTTGTGATTTGCGTTTTTTGTGGCGCGAGTATGCCACATCGGAATTGGAAGTATTTCAGTATACCCCGCATATTTTCCGTGCACGGGACTCCCCGACGTGCGCGAATTGCGCACTTCGGCAAACCGCCAGTGATAACGTTGAAACTTTTCCTGAAAAACCTAGAGCAGTACTTACTAGGTTCTACATGGCTGATTACTTCGATTCATTCGAAACCGCGAATGAGAATAAGAAGGATCTGGTGAGCCTGCTTAAATCGGTGGTAATCCGTGTCTCCAAGTTTTTTAGATTGAAGAAAACTTAAGACCTTCAATTGACGTAACTGCAAAGTGAAAAAGTAACTGCTAAAGGAAATTGCGAGTGTTAATGACCATTTGAATTCTCATGTGTTCGGGCTAAAGTTGAACCATGGAAGTGACTGTCTTTTTGTTAGTCGTGGAGTTAATCGTGAGCTCCAAACATCCGTTACGCACCGAACTGTTCTCGGTTTCGTCTCATCCTTATTGGTTTGGTTGCCCCTACACGTCTGCTTTTGGAACATTTGGCGCATAACTAGGAAACATTGGGATGATTTCTTCCCAGAAGCGCTCCGGAAGCATTTCATTAAGTGGCAGTTAAGAATGTTTGTCTTAGGAGAAATAGTCGTTCCCCGAAACCACTTGAGTAATCCATTCGATGAATTTCGATGAATGTGAGCTCCAAATGTTGGGGGATAGCTCGCAAGATGTAGTTTGAGTCGTTGGTTTTCTTCGTGCCCGGATTATTGAGACTCAAAAATTTGAAATTTTGTTCGTTTTTGGTAAAGCAAGGGTAGCGCCAATGAAGGCTTTGTCAATTCCGAAGGTGTAATCACAGGCCGCTTTGCTGGCATCTCAGTTGAAGGAAGATATTCTAATCATTTTAGCCCGCACGTTTTTACACCACGTTGTTACAATGTCTTCACTCCACCGATAAATTACTTTCGCCGCAAAACGTAGCTCAAAACGATGCCGAGTCGTAGCTCTTTTACCAACACTTTGACCTTATGCAGGCGTTTCAATGCCCCAATAGTCTCTATGATTGCGTAATATGTTATGTTTAAAGGTTTTTACTTAACAATAATCATCAAGGTTACCGCCTGAACAGCTAGTACTACAATTTCAAAAAAGGCATATTATAACACAAAAATAATTTTCTCAATTATAGATAGATCTTTATCATACAATTCCATACCACTCCATAGAAGACAAGTTATATGATATATCTTGACCAGCATTTTTTGTTCTATTGATGAAATTGATATTTCTCAGTTTTTAGCTTTTAGGAACCCGCCTTATCAAAAATGCCCCTCTCAGTTTTCCGCTTTCCCTCCTTCCTCGTCCCCCCACCATCATTATGCCAGTCGACACACAAAGTCTGCTTTAGTTAACTTTCAACTATAGTATGAATCACCAGCGTTATCATAATGAACCTTCAAAAACCTAATTATAAGTTTCAATGAAACATACAAGCATTCATTCCAAAGTAACAACTCTTCTTTGTTTTGAACTCACAATTGAAAGTGGGAGGGTGTAAAATTTATTCACAAAAACAATCAATTTCAGTAGGCAAACACAAAAACGACAATCCTTTGTCGGCGAATCAGTAAACATCTTGAAACACAAAATCATCAAATTGGAATGTGAGTTAAATCTAATAATAAATTGAACTAACTGCTTAGCTTGACTATTGAAAGTTTGATTATTACTGACTTTGTTAGAATTATTTAGACATGTCATCTTCAACCGAAGACCAAGAACCGTTCGCTACGACGAACCGCAAGTCCGATTCGAGTCAAGCCGACACTGAATACAGCACGGGAGACCCGAGATCAAGATACGATTCACACATGATTATAAAGCGACGAGAGGTGAAACGCGAGTCCAAACTAGTAATAGCGGGACTCGGTACAAAACGAGTTTCGAAAACGTCTGAGTCGGGTTTTGATGACGGCCAGTCTATACGAACCGGATCCCCGACTGGCTCAACGTTATCGGGGTTTTTCCCAGCTCGCAGTAAGAAATCAAACGAGAAAATAGACAAAAAGTGGCTGGAAATTATGGCCAACTCTCAAAACCGACATGATGTTACGGCTCAGAAACTTTTGAACAAAAAGTTTAACATTTATCAGCAGCGGAGCAACACGCCTTCTGTTCGCAAATTCAACAGCGAGCGTAAAATTCAGAGAGTAAATGACCCGAAGTCGAGTTTCGGCTCTGAAGTTCTTTCGCTTCCAAAGCGAGAAAACTCGTTGTTGCGAAGTTACTCCGAGAGCGATATTTCACAAGTGCCAACAATCAACTCTTCAGTGCCCGAGGCCTCAGAAACCGACATTCGAGTTACGGAATCTGAGATGTCTGGAACTGATTCTGACAAACATACAGCCAGCTTGGAAATGACTGGAAGTAGCCAAGAACATCAAAAAGGGCGAACTGGGAGTTCGCATTTATCTGCTGGATCAGTTGACATACAAATTACAGGACACACGATTGACGGGCCCAGCACCCAAACTATTGTCCAGAACGACAACGGTGGAAACAGCGATTCGGTTCATACAAATGGTGGGCAAACTAGCATCCGGGTAAATTATGAAGATTGTTCCAAAACGAGGACTGTTGATCCTGCAACTGGTCAAATCATTATAAATATTGTAACTCCTGCCAGTCGTTACGGCGACTCAAACGTGCAGTTTAAAGATTCTCCGGGAGCTGCACCTGGTGCTCAGAACGAGGCGTCTCGTATCGAAGAAACGAAAACAAATGACACTTCGGTTATTTCTGTGCCTCCGCGAGCCAATCAACAAGCAGCTGGACAGTTCGTTTCGACGAACGAAGGAATTCCGCTCATTAAGCCTAAAAAGAAGAAAAGAGGCTGTCGGTGTTGTTTCTGCTGCACGTGTAGGTGTGGTGTTTCAGATGACGAGGATTTCTGAGCACAAGTGTCGTTTCTTCAAAACAAGTTGAGAAAAGACTAAAGAAAAGATGGGAAATGATTTTGGTTTGACTTTGTAGATTTTCGAATTTTTTCAAGCTACCTGAAAACCACATTTTTAAAATAAAATTGATCTTTTTGAAGCAGTCGTACTTTATCCTTTATCGTCGTTGGTTTTGTCCGAATTGTATACGAATAAATCCCTCACGATAGAAATACTGAATTATTGAAGTCATATTGTAGAGAGTATCCGAAAACTTAAAGAGTGCAAAATCGCCTTGAATATTACACATTTCAAGGAGTGAAATTAGTTGACTGAGGAACTCAGAGACATTTACAGAGATTCTTGATTTCTTGCAGATGATCAGTTTTGCGGCTTTTAAGGACAAACGCTGGGCACAAAAATTTGGTTGCCGAGAGATTTGAAGGAACGAACTGAGTTAGGACCGAGGTGGTTAACTCATAGAGTAATTTCGGATAGGGTACACCGTCTGCTCGTCACGCTATCTTATTTTCGGCCGGATAGATTCGTGCAACTTCTTAGTCTAATACCGATCCTAATCTTACTCTTATACTATCTAGTCTCAGGGTGTTTAACTAGTCTCTGCTAGGCTCAATAGATCTAGGGTATACTGGTTTATTGCGGCTGCTGAAGTCTTCTTGGAGAGTCAACTAATTTCTAAGTTAAATTCAAATCTCTCTGGTGCTGAAATTACAAGTAATTCCAGCACTTACAAATAAGTGGGTTGTTAGTTAGATGGATCATGATTGGTTAATATTAAATACTTTACAGTGGTAAAATATCTAATTTATCCAATCATAAAATGTAGTTTAGATCAGGTTCCACCCATCCGGGTTTTACAGAGTTTTTTAGAATAGTCTTTCTGCAATTCAAAAGATGGATGATATTGGTATTTGGCGAACATCATATTTCGTCTGGGTTCTCTTGTTAGAGAAGTTCCAGATTCAATCGTTGTGTCTTCTCATGTCAACGACTGGGTTTTCGCAACAAACTCAAATCTGATTTCAGAATGGTTTGCTATGACAGGTTTTTTCGTTTCATGTAGAGAACTTCTTTGTGTTTGACCTTGTCTGGGAATGGCGTGGAGATTGTGCGTGGAGGGGATGCCTGGTTACTCGGATCTGTACGTATACTTGAACATCGAGGTGGTCATTGTTCTAGTTCAATGAAGTCCTTTTCTGCGAAGTCAAGTCGTACTCTAAATCCTTTGAGTTGTGATTGTGTGCGGCATATTGATTGTGGTTGGCCATTCTTTTTCGAGTGTAGTGGGGTCATTTTGTCTTTGGATGTTCGTCTTTGGTGTTGTATGCTGATCTATATACTGCAAGATATAATTTACATTTTATAAAATTTTTATTAGTTTAGTGTTTTAGTTATGATTTTGGTTAGTTGTTTTCACAAAAGCTTTCTGTTTTAGTTCAGTTATTTTGAAGAGTTACTCACCCTTGAGTACCTCTTATTAAAAATAGGAGTGTGGTCACAAAGCGTGGATGTAGCGCGGTGGGTTAGGCCGGCTATAGAGCATGCTCAGGACGTCCTCTCTGGTGGGTTAGGCCAGGAGTGGGAGTATGCTTTCGTGCGGTTTCTGTGAGAGGTCCTGTTATGTGATAACGTTTTATGTTGGGTTTATTGTGGTTTTTCTTATGTTTCGTTGGTTGTGTCCTTTTTTCAAAAATCAAATTGTTTTTGGTATGGGTTTGTCTTTCGACTTTTTTGTGTTTTATTATTTCTTTCTTAGACTTTATAATAGTCTTCAAAAGAATAAATTATCCAGTTTTAAGCTGGGTTAATCCGGTTTGGATACCGTTGGTTTCCTTTTCTTAGTCATGCTGTTATTCTATGTGTTGTGGTGTTTAGTAAGCTGCATTGGTTAGTTTTGTTTAGTATATAATTCCTTTCCAACCGGGTTAAAGGAAAGTTTGAAACTTGTTATCGTGTGTTAGAGTTGTTGAGTGTGAAAGCTTGAAACTGAAATTCATTATTTAAACAATTCTTCGTGGGCGAGCTGTGCGAGTTTGGATAGAATTCTTGTGCGAGTGAATGAAAATATCAAAAGGTTAGTACTGCATTTGCGTTTTATTAATTTACTACATAGAATTTCAAATTTATTGCTTGTTTTGGGGAAAAATTAAGTTACAAATTTTCATCATTATTAGAATTACTGCTTTTAGGGAAATAATTTATAAATTAATTTTTTACATTTGTATGAATTTTATTTAATTTAGCTGGTGCAAAAGATTATTAGAGTTTGGGACAATTTGAAGAAGTTTTCTATTTTTTATTGTTCTTTTGTGTATTTTGCAGATGATCGTGAGATGAAGACTAAAAATCTAAATAAAACATGGATAAAGAATGGTTAGTGTTTTATTTTAAATTTATTAGTATATGTATAAATTATACTTACCTGTTAGTCGTCGGGGAAAAAACCGTGGGGGAAGATGTCGTGGATTATGTCGGAATTTGTTAGTAACTTTGCTAGTATGCGAATGATGTTTTTAGTTTGAAGCAGTGGCCAAAGCAATTGAAGTGCTTTAATGGTTTTTAGTTCTTCAGTGCCAACTGCAAAATCATAAGGTGTGTTTTGGATGAGATTATATAATTTGTGGTTATATTTAGTGTTGTGGATGAATTCTAATATGGGGATTTCTATAGGTTGAACAAATTCATGTGGGACAAGGAAGGGTCTGGATTCTTCTGCGTTGAAGGTCTTTGTGATGGGACAAAAAATATACATTTGGGTTATGGGATCATAATTGCGAAGAATACCGTGAAGGTTAGTATCTTTGATGCAATATGTGAAGTTAAGAAAAATGGTGATGTGTATTTAGAGTTAATAAATTGAAAACGATGGTGTGGTTGTCTTGATGGAGTGTGTAGGTCAAAGTGATTTTGTATAAAGCGGTAATATGTATATGTGTGGGTTTGTTTAGTGCGTAACATAATGTCATGTGAGCAGTGCAAATCTCGTTCATGTGGTGCAAGGAAATGAAAGGTTAGTGAAAATAATTGAAATCTTTCTTTAAAACTTTCGTAAGCTTGTGTGTCGGTTAGTGCTTCAGAAATGATGTGGTCAAATTTGCGATCAAATATATTGAGTGTAAAAACATATGGTGTTTTGATGAAAAATTTTTCTGTGATTTGTGGGTTAGCGAAGCGATCATCATCTAAAAATTGGTCTTGGTTAGTTCGGATGATGGTATGATCGTAATATTCTAGCGTATATTCGTTAGCTCGGGGTGCAGTGTATGTTTTTAGTGATTTTTTATATCCGATATAAGTAAATTGTCTATGTGTTAGTGGTGTAGTGAGTCGATATAGCATATCTTGATTTCGTTCTATATCGATGTGAGTATTAGATAAAGGTAGGCAAAGGGGGTTAGTAAAATGATAATATGATGTCCAATGAAGTGTAGGCATTAAAACTTGTTCATCTACAAAGCTACGTGTATCGTTAGTATCTGTAGGGGTGTTCAAAGTATACTGTGGAAATGAAGGTAAGGTGATTGCTAAAAATTCTTTCGTGTTAGTGTGATTTGGATGATTAATATATTCACGGGCTGTTCCTGGTTTTGTTGGAAATGGATGGTTTGGGAATTTTCTTTTGAAAGTGCGGTAAGCTCTATTAGTGCTAATTGATGATTCGGTGGATGTGGATGATGGTGCTAATGATGCGGTATAAGCTGAAGAGGGTGTAGGGGTAGGTGGGTTTGATGATTCTATTGTGGATGAAATCTGATTTATAGTGGGGTTTTCAAGGTGGAAGGGTTGTTGTTGTAAGGTGATAAAATTATCTAGTTCTTGGGAGATTTGGGGGGTGTCTGGAGAATTGGATGATCGATCTGAATGAAGTGAAGAGTAGGTTGGGGTAACTTGTGAAGCATAGGAGGGTGTAGAGATGGATGGGAGTGGGTTATATGGTGGGATTGGTTGAAAAGGGGGTTTCGAAAAAACTGAGGGATTGGTTTGAAAATTATTGGATGGAGATGGTTCAGAGTCTGCAAATTCGTCAGGGGTTTCAATATCTGGGTTATTGAGTTGTGAGATGGAGTATAAAACTGAGATGTGTGAATTAGTGTCTGAAGTCATGCCTGATGTTATATTATTGGTTGGGAAATCGGGTGGTGGGAAAGCAAAAAGTGGAATTATTGTAATTGGAGTGTTGAGGTTGGTTGGGTGTGAATTTGAGCGGTGTAAGGATCCAAGTTGTCGGCTCATCGTGGGCTAAAAAAATTATTATTTTGAGACTGAAAAGCGGTGGTATGGGGTTGTTCTATGATTTGTTCATATGTATTTTCATCTAATGAATGGTGTGTCAGTATATGTTGAATGGGACTTTGTGATATAGTTGGTCTAAAATTTGGATTATTTGTTATTGCTAAATTTCGAAAAATTCGTGGGACTAGTGATAATGGATGGTTATGTGGCAGTGGTGGTAACTGTGGTGCTGTAGGCGTAATGTCTACATTGTTATGTTCTTCGTCGTATGTGTTCTGTCTTGTTGCTATTTTTGTGTTGTATTCCTTTATTTGTGCATCTAAAAGAGTTTTGTTTATTGACGATGAAAAAATTCCAAAAAATCCTGCAAATAGTATGCGTGCTACACTTGCTTGTCTGTTTACTTGTGTGTGTATAGCGCATGTATTATAGATTCCTTTTAAAAGCGAAAAAAGAAATCCTATAAAGTTAAACATTGCGTATAAAATAGTCAATTTTTCTAAGATGTAGTAGGGCCATCCTAGAAAATCGAGAATTTCATTTTTTAGTGTAACAAAGCTAAAAATATTTATAGGTGAAATATCTTGTGGTCGGTATTTTTCACCGTTTAGATATATATAGTCTTTAATGTCTTTAAAATATCCGCTATAATCTTGTGTATAAATATCTGCAAATCCTGCGGTTTCGGCAAGTTTGCGTAAGTTTTGGTCAATTGATTGTCTTTGTATAGTGTCCATTTGTGTTAATAATTCTTGGAATTGTTGTGTTCTAATGTGATGTTGGATATCGGATTTTGAATATATTCCAATTGATTGTAGGTCAATATTTGGCTTTCGAGCAATAGCTCTAATGCTTTCAGGTGAAAATTTTTTGAGTGATTGCATTAATGTGGGATATGGGGTAA